TACTGAATAACAAAATAAACATTAAAATAGTATAAATAAATAACAGTATAAATAAGTAGGATAAAATCATTTCATTTAATAAAAGATAGATGTAATCAAATAATATAAACATAAGAAGCCATGCTTCAGTTTCTTGCATGAGGAGTATACATACCCATATAAACCCAGCAGTTGGCAAAATATAAAACTTAAACTTGAAAGTAGTTTATTCAAATTTAATATAATGCTGCCAGCTAGTGGCAGCATCTTATTTTGAGCTAATGAGCTAGTTTACTACTGAGCTGCTTTAGAAGTTAGACTATTTAGTTAGTAAGATACCTGAGGTAAAATACATGGATGCAAACTGTATATTAATCTACATTAAGCTAGCTGAAAAATGAAAGAAGCTAATATTTATGATTAAAATTATTTGGGTTTTGTGGTTTAAGAATTAATATCTTAGATATTTTAATATTAATATTATTGCTTTGATCGGTATACAGAGCAAATTTGTACATTTTTTATTTGTGCAACCAAATATTTCTCCATGCTTACTTGTACAGTTTTTTTCAGCACCCAATTTTGGAAAGCTTTCCAAATGCAAGTCTCATTCACAGGGAAAATATGTGATACAGATAGTCGTCACAACCACACGTTCAACAACTATTACAAAGTTACAAAGATGCTCAACAAGTATTATTTATGACTGGTCCTTGACATTCTGGCCATCCAGCACTCTGTGGTCACATTATCATGATCCAGAAACTTGGCAATAAGCTCATACTTACAACAGTTGCAGTGTCCTGCTGTCATGTGATCACCTATTCTGACTTCCTGCTGACTTCTCACAAGCAAAGGCTGACAGGGAAGGTTGCAATTTGTTTCTGTAATTCACTCCTGCCACTTTTTCTTCTAAGGAGGACTCACCCATCTGCAGACCCTCGGCTCACACTCTATAGCACAGGCTGGCGGCCACTAGCGTAACCTGCACCCAGTACCAGTTCATGTAGTGCTGTAGTAACCACTGGTGCACCCTCTCATACCTGGCAGCAGCCATCCTCAGCCTATCTGCACTTGCAACAACCATTTAACTGTGAGAGCTGGCTGGGACTTGCAACTTTCTGCCATGGCTTCCCCATTGGATTTGCTAGATAAAAGTCGACATAAAGTTGTGAGAAGATTCCTTGCGTAAAGACTCATAATCCTCACAATGGCAACAGGGATGGCTGGGTTTGCCATGGCTAAGCAATGGAGTCATATGACATTGCATTTTACAACCACATGGCTTTGTGACCAAAATGTTGATCCCAACACACACACAAACATACAGAAGCACAAAATAATCAATATTTACAAACTCTCCAGTTTTTCAACCTCTGCACTCATTTTGTTTTCCAATTTAAAATGCTATTAGGTAGCTATACAGTATGCTCGTAGGGTTCTCTCAATTAAACTTGATATTAGGTTGTTGTTGTTGTTTGCAATATGCAAATCACATAGAGAGAGCAAGTTTAGTGTAGTGGTTAAGTAGGCTTCTAATAGTCTAGATAGAAACTGGAATATTATGAGTTGTGGGTGAATGGATGATTTTAGGCCAATCACTATCTTTTAGCTCTAAGAAGGCAGTGGCAAGTCACTTCTAAAAATTTTGCCAAGAATATTGCAGGGACTTATCTAGGCAGTTGCTAGGAAATAAGACTGACTTAAAGGCACACACACACAAAATTATCATAGTCCTCCTTTCTTCTGCCAATCTGTGAATTAACCTTTTCCAACTAACAGTATTTCAATTACATATTTGCTAAGGATACTAACTGTATTATAAAGCCTGAGGCACTCAGAGAGGGTGAAAGTTTACAAGTTGAAGCTGAATTGTACCAAGCTTTTTGCTATGTTATTCACTATCAGGTAGATTCTATTATCATTATGAGGTCAAAAGTTAGTTTATAAAATTGATTTTTTTCTGTACTTAAAATGTCAGTGCACAATGAAGTATAATCCAATGTTGATTTTAAAAAAGACATATTTTAAATGAATTGACTATATTTAGGAATGGTTTCATGTTACTACTAATGGAAGCAAAGTATTAGTTTTTTTCTCAGACTTATTTATCTAGAAAACAGTTTTTTAAAATTTGTATATGGATTTACAAAAACACAGTAAAATTTCTGGGAAACGTTCTACATATCTGATTTATTCTTTTTTAAACATATTACTTATGTTCCTATAAATGTAATATTAATCATATTTCCAGTACTTCTACATATCAATATGCTTCATTTTATTCTTTGAAAATTTCTGTAACTGTAAAGACTTATAAATCAAAGTTAGACTTTTATATATAATATCCCAGGCTTAGACATTTTGTTTTCTTTACCTTTTAATGAACAAACATCTGGTATTGATTTATAATGTCAGGTTTGCAATATAAAAGAGGGTTCTTTTTAGTGAATCAATAGCGTTTCAAAGTTAAAGAAGATGATTCTTTTTATTATGCTAGAGGAGGATGAGTTCAAGATAACCTAGTGATCCCCTCCTCTAGTCCATTCGTTTTTCCTTCTCTCCCAGCAGCATGTGATTTGAAATGAAAGGATTGTTTGGAGGCCATCCTCAAATTAGATACCAACAAGGCTGATTAGTATCACTTTCCTCCAAATTTCCTGCCTCTTATTCTCCCCCTCACATACCCCAAAAAAGGAACAGTGGCATACTGTAATCAAAGCTAGGCTATCATGGACAAGTTTGGGGCTGTTGCACTCATACCTGCCTTTTCTGTTCCCTTTGTTCCTCCCTTATGGTTTCCAGGAGTGGGACAAAAGAGGCCCCAGTAATGGAATAGTGATTTTGTCTCTATTGTGGATACTGAACATGAAAATTAAGCTTCAGGTAAATTTTATTTAGTCCCAACAAAACCCAAGTCTTTGGCATGTTAAAGCTAAACCTGTTTGGATTACTTGGCTAGGTAAACAGTCAAATCCTCTAATATACAGTATATCCCTCCACAGTAGTGGCCAAAATTGTGGAAACCTTTTGCAAAAAGTGTATTTTTGAGGTTTGATGGCTAATAACACCACTTTTTTTTTTTTTTTTGAGTTTCAAGATAATCATATTTCACAGCTGGAATGGACTGGGAATAGCCCAGATCTTAACCCAATTGAAAATCTATGGAGCCAACTAAAGAAACTTGTTAGTCAGAAGCGACCCAACAATAAAACCCAGTTAAAGAAGCAATCATTCAATCTTGGTTTCACATTATAACAGCTGCAGAACTAAAAGACTTGGTTCACTCCATGGGAAGACATTGTAAGGCGTAATTCATGCTAAAGGTTACCCAACTAAGTATATGATAATTTTTGTATATCTCCATTTTTTTCTATGGTGATAATTTTTGTATATCTTGCTTTTTCTACGTGTTTCACTTTTCTTCTTTATACTGTAACTGCTGTTCTAATAGCAAATCCTTCATAAAAGTTATTGCATTACATTCCTGATTAAATTATCTTTCCATTGATATATAATTTTATGGTACTACTCCAAAAAAAAGTGGTGTTCTTAGCTAGTTTTAGAAAATACACTTTTCCCAAAATGGTTTCACAATTTTGGCCACTACTGTATACTGAAATAACTTGAAGGAAGCCTAACTCTTAATATGATTGTATTGTGACATGGGTAATTGGCTCTCTGAATGGCATACTCTTTCTATAATAAACAATATTACAAATGAATACATTGAAAGAGAAGTAAAACCTTTGCTGATAATTATATTTTCTACATTAAACTGAGATTCAGTGTTACTTTGCATGCACAGTCATTGTTAATCTTGATCTCAAAGATAATTGGTATTATACATATGTAGATTCTCTAATGTAATGATGATACTTAAGGAAGTTAATTATGTGTCAAAAGAAATCTCTAAATAAACGGGCCTAGAAAGCCAAATGGATGCAAAGCGCTATGTCAAAATATTTAATTTGATGAATAATTTCAAACTATTTGTTATTATATTTAGTTCTAAATCAGATTGGAAAAAACAAAGCAAATTTATTTATTTATTTATACTTGTGAGGTGATATGAAGATCAGGTAAATCTGTTAGTCATTATCTCCATTTCATGGAATATTTTCCCCCCCACCCCCAAGACATGAATGTTCTCAACCTACTTTCATTTTATAAATTAAGGCACTTTTGTTCCAGTGTGTTTATTCACTTCTTGAATTAGTTTTCAGTATGCTAGTACTCCATGAGTACTAACACTGCCTTTATTGTAAGATTATAACAACAGATTCTTGCAACTCTGAAAACACTTCCCCCGTCCCCTGTCTTTACTTTCCAGATAATTGGGGGCAGGGGGGGGGCATCTTCTAAGGTATTTACTTCAATCTCATTCCTCCTTTCAAGATAGATTTTGTTTATCAGATCATTGTCTAGACTGCAGTTCTTCCTCCCTTTTCCCAAAGTTGTTCTCCCAACCCATTGCAATGTATAAATATGTGATATTATAATCAGTTTTAAGGTTCCATGTGAAGCAGATATTTCAACAGATAATTTTACACAAGGAAGAAAAATGTTTCAAATGCAATTAAAGTTGTAGCTATTCAATATAACCATTAAATTATTTGTTACATCTCGTGCTTGCTATTGCTATATTTTTTTTAAAAGGATAATAAAACATTCAGTTTACTATATGTCTTCTTTGTGATCACTTTTAAATAAATTGTGCTAAACATTAGTTTTATCTTTTTATCTATTTTGTTTAAAACATGTAGATTTTTACATGTATAAAATTATATAGGTTTATATTTAATTTGGTTTTATAGTCCTGCTATAGTGCCTGGCTTCTACATAATACATTATTTCTTACTAGCACTTAAGTTACTTTTTCCTCTGTCTGATTTTAGTTCTGGTTTTCCTTCTGTGATATTCACATTGAAAAAATATCTTGGCACAGATTTTTGTACTGAGATACATGGTAAATTTTATTAATAAAACAACCATAATCAAGAACAAAAGTCATTACTTACAAACATTTCCTGTGTTGTCAAAACTTGTCAGAACATCTTCAACATTTAATAATCTGCTGTTGCATCTAAAAAAAAATCACCACCGTTAACAGTGCAAAAAAGGACAATGTCATACGTACAGCCATCACAATTTTTTAAAGTCTTACCACTAGAGGGAGAAAAGTAAGTAAGTAAGTCCGTATCTTACTACTTTGTGTTCAAATTATAACTCATTAACCACTGAAATGTAGGGAGCAGGTATCCTTTGTGAAAGGGTAGAACTGAAGATAAAATGAGCCATTTTAATAAACAATAAGCTGTGTTCTCATTTCTTCATCTAGTTTTTTTTTTCCTTCTTTCCGTTCTGAGCTCCTTCTCTCATTTTGTCTTTCCTTGTACTTTTCCTGATCCATTTGTGGTTTGTGTACCACAGCTGCTGATTCTCACTGATACTTTTTGTTATTGTAAGGCACAACCATACCAAGACTTCAGAATACAAAACAAAACTGTAACTATTATTCCAACTGAACAATTTGTGTTTTCATTAGAAATGGTTGAACGTGCAAAATCTCTCACTCAATGACAAATAGATTCTTGACTACTTACCTTTCCTCTACTTCCTCTACTCTCAATGCAAGATTAACAATACACAGTTAATACAAGTCACCATAGCAACTATATCTATAATACAAAGTGAATATGATCAAACCTTCATCTCTTTCTGGAACACAGGCGTGTATCAATGAATAAGAACCATGTAAAAACCAAGTGTTCCCATGAATAATATGCACAACAAACTGGAACTGTTCACTCAGATGTGTATTTTCAAATGATCAGTAAAATGTAGTTAATGCTCATTATCCTGTATATTGTTAGATATTAAGAATTCAAAATCTATGGAGTACATAAAACAGCTTGGTCTTAACTTTAAGATTCAAAACATCCTAAGTAAACAAAAACAAAAAACCGCACAAGAACAAAAAACAAGTGTCATCTACAACATACAGCGTAAAGACTGTTAACAACCACAATGTAGGACAGGCAGGAGGAAAATTAGCAGAGAGAATCCATGAATACCAACTATCAGACAGAAAACGTGATGAAAACTCTTTAATCTCACAACACATAGCTAGATTCAGCCATAGTTTCAACTGCTAGGGAATTCCTGGAATCTTGACATTCAGACAAATCAGCCAACAATAGACACAGAGAGATAAACCACATTTACATATCATTCCAATAGAGACAATTAAAAAAAGCTAAGAAGAAAATAAAAAGACCAGAATTCTTCCTCACCAGTAAAGAACACCCAGATAAGCAGGGACTCACATTAGACAAACAATCTAGCAAAAGACAATATTCTAATCAAGCAGAACACAAAGGACCCCAATGTTCAACCCTGAGCTACATATTTTTATTATTTATTTATTTATTTATTTATTTATTTATTTCGTCAAGCATGTATTAGGTAACAGATATAAGTATAAACATAATTATGAATACATGAAATGGATACATATAAAAGGGAACATTAGAACAGGGACAGTAGGCATGCTGATGCGCTTATGCACCCCCCTTAGAGACGTTTTAGGAATGGGGTGAGGTCGACAGTCGACAGTCTAACGTTAAAGTTTTGGGGATTAGGGGAAGAAACCACAGAGTCAGGTAATGCATTCCAGGCATTAATGACTCTGTTACTGAAGTCATATTTTCTGCAATCCAATTTAGTGTGGTTTACTACAAGTTTGTATCTATTGTGTGCTCATGTATTGTTGTGATTGAAGCTGAAGTAGTCATTGACAGATAGGACATTGTAGCAGATAATTTTATATGCTGCACTTAGGTCTGACCGAAGACGGCGAACTTCTAAACTGTCTAATCCCAGAATTTGAAGTCTGGTGGCATAAGGTATTTATTTATTTATTTGTTTGTTTGTTTGTTTATTTATTTATTTATTAAATTTGTATACCGCCCTACTCCCGAAGGACTCAGGGAGGTGAACAGCCATAAAATAAAACATATAGATAAAAAATTTAAAATAGAAATAAAACAAATTAAATAAATTTGGCTGAACCGTTTTAAAACCCCAATAATTTAAAACCAAATTTAAAATTCCCATTTAAAAAGGGGAAAAATTTAGGTCAGGCCAGCTTGATGAAATAGGAACGTCTTAAGCGCGCGACGGAAGGTTCGCAGATCCGGGATCCTCCGTATCTCCGGGGGGAGCTCGTTCCAGATAGTAGGTGCCCCCACAGAGAAGGCTCTCCCCCTGGGGGCCGCCAGTCGACATTGTTTGGCTGACGGCACCCGGAGGAGTCCCTCCCTATGGGAGCGTACTGGTTGGTGGGAGGCTATTGGTAGTAGCAGGCAGTTCCGTAAATAACCAGGTCCTAAGCCATGGAGCGCTCTGAAGGTGATAACCAAAACCTTGAAGTGCACTCGGAAGACCACCGGGAGCAAGTGCAGTTCGCGCAAGAGAAGCGTTACATGGGAGCGCCACGTCGCTCCCATCACCACCCGCACGGCCGCACTCTGCGCCAGTTGGAGCCTCTGAGTGCTCCTCAAGGGGAGCCCCATGTAGAGAGTGTTACAATAGTCCAGACGGGAGGTGACGAGGGCATGAGTGACCGTGCGTAACGAGTCCCGGTCCAGAAAGGGACGCAACTGGCGGATCAGGAGAACCTGATGAAAAATCCTCCCGGTCACGGCCGTCAAGTGCTCTTCTAAAGACAGCCGTGAATCCAGGAGGACACCCAAGTTGCGAGCCCTTTCCATGGGGGCCAATGATTCGTCCCCAATAGTCAGCGATGGCACCAGCTGACTATATCGGGACGTCGGAAACCACAGCCACTTGAGCCTGTTTCTCCCCATCCAGATCCGTACAGCTTCCAGGCACCGGGATATCACTTCAAGGGCATCGTTGGGGTGGTCTGGGGTGGAGATGTACAGCTGGGTGTCGTCAGCGTATTGATGGTACTCCACCCTGAAACCACGGATGATCTCGCCCAGCGGCTTCACATAAATGTTGAACAAAAGGGGCGAGAGGACCGATCCTTGTGGCACCCCACATATGAGGAGCCTCGGGGTTGACCTCTGCCCCCCTGTCAACACAGATTGCGACCGGTAGGAGAGAACGGAGGAGAACCACCGTAATACGGTGCCTCCCACCCCCAACTCTTCCAACCGGTGCAGCATGATACCATGGTCGATGGTATCAAAAGCCGCTGAGAGATCTAATCGGACCAGGACAGAGGAGCGACCTCTGTCCCGAGGCCTCCAGGGATCATCCACCAATGCGACCAATGCCGTTTCCGTGCTATACCCAGGCCTGAAAACCGACTGGAACAGATCTAGATACGTCGTTTCATCCAGGTACTGGGGGAGCTGTCGCGCAACCACACTCTCAACAACCTTCACCACAAAGCGAAGGTTGGAGACTGGACGATAGTTAGCCAATATTGCCGGGTCCAGGGAAGGCTTCTTGAGGAGAGGTCTCACCACCGCCTCTTTCAAGGCAGCGGGAAAGACACCCTCGCCCAATGAAGCATTTATAATCCCCTGGTGCCAGCGTCGAGTCACCTCCCGGGAAGCCAGCACTAACCAGGAGGGGCACGGGTCCAACAAACATGTGGTCGCGTTCAGTCTACCCAGAATCCTGTCCACATCCTCAGGGGTCATAGGATCAAACTCATCCCAGATAACATTCTCAGGACCTGCCTCCGTCATCCCCGTTGGATCTACCCAGTCGGAGTCCAGATCTTCCTGAATCTGAGTGATTTTGTCAAACAGATACTGAACAAAATCCTCGGCTCTTCCCTCCAAGGGGTCCTCCCTCGCTTTCTGGTGGAGCAGGGAGCGGGTCACCCTAAACAGGGCGGCCGGGCGGTTATCTGATGACGCAATAAGAGCAGCGAAATGGGTGCATTTCGCTGCTTTTATCGCCACTAGGTAATTCTTAATATGAGATCTTACCAGTGTCCGGTCAGATTCAGTTCGACTGGCCCTCCAACTACTCTCTAGGCGTCTTTTCCGGTGCTTCATCTCCTTCAGCTCCTCGGTGAACCAAGGAGCCAGGTGAGATCGGCGCCGGGTCAGAGGCCGCAAAGGCACAACTCGATCCAAAGCTCCAGCGGCCACCCTATCCCCGGTGTCCACTAGGTCTCCAGTCAAGGCGTGAGCCAGAACCTTGGGATTGGCCCAAGCTCCATCTGGAACCTATCAGGTTCCATCAGGTGCCTGGGGCGGTACCATCTTATCGGTTCTGCCTCCCTGCGGTGGAGTGCAGCGGTTTCGAAAGTCAAGGCGAAGGAGAGAGTGATCCGACCATGACAAGGGCTCGATGACTATATCCCCTATCTCGAGATCACTCAGTCACTGTCCAGAGACAAAAATCAAGTCCAGTGTGTTTCCCCCCATGTGCGTAGGGCCATGAATTAGCTGGGTCAGATCCATAGCCGTCATGGAAGCCATGAACTCCCGAGCCACCTCAGACGTCTCACCCACGGACGGCAGGTTGAAATCCCCATGACCATAAGTCTAGGGGTATCAACCGCCACCGTGGCGATAACATTGAGTAGCTCGGGCAGGGCTGCTGCCCCGTGGCAGGGAGCCAGGTACGTGATCAGCAAACCCATCTGAACCCCATGACCCCACTTCACAAGGAGGATCTCACAACCAGCCGTCTGAGGAACAGTGGCCTCCCTCGGCCTAAGGCCTTCTCTAATAATAATTGCTACTCTCTCGCCCCTTCCCTGTGACCTCGGCTGATGGAATGCCTGGAAGCCTGGTGGGCACATTTCTACCAGAGGGACCCCTCCCTCCGGGCCCAACCAGGTCTCCGTAATATCCGCCAGGTCCGCTCCCCCCTCCTGAACCAGATCACAAATGAGGGGGGCTTTATTTATTACTGACCTGGCTTTGCACAACATCAGTCGAAGGCTCGAGCCCTGAGGGTCTGTACAACCTGGAGAACGAGTGGAGCCTTGGGGGCCGGAGCACGCTACCGCTTGAAGACAGTGGGTGCGCGCTCCCTTAACATTCTGTATTCTGTTGCAAGCAGAGGAATGGAGGACTCTTCTCGTGAAAT